AGGGGGGAGGGCTAGACGGCAGGCTGTGTTGATTAATAATGATGAACCCAGAAGCCCAGGGAGGATCATTTCCCGTGGCCCAGCAGCCCCGCAGAGACGGGGAGGGTGCGGGTGCGTGTACACGCGTGGCTCTGTGTGTGTGTGTGTACACGCATGGCGGTGCGGGGGCGGGCGGGCGGAGGGGACGAGCCCCCGCGCAGCGGGACAGCGCACACGGCTCGGTCCGCTCCTGCCCTGTCGCCGGCATCCCCTGCCCGGATGAGCGGAGAGCCCGCGTCCCCCGCCCGGCGCGGCGGGGAGCGGCCGGGCAGCACAAGTTGCGCCGCGGCCCCCGCAGCCGCACGCACAAGTTGCGGTGCGGCCCGGGCGGGGAAGGTTCGCATCTTCTCCCCCTGCGGAACAAAAGCAGCGGTGCGTGTGCTGGAGCCCTGCTCGGCAGGCGCCTGGCCCGCCGCGCCACTTGCCCCTTCCCCGCACGCAGAGTTTTTGTCCTCAGAGTGTTTGTTGTTCTACCTGCCTTTGTGCTCCGGCCGCCGCGGTGCAGCGCCGGGAAGGGGAAGGTCCTAGAGAGACTGGGGCTCGTTCTCCCTTGGCTGGGCTGCCTGCCCTTCTCGGGGGAGCGCTGTCCCAGCCGAGGGCACGGCTGCTCCGTGTCCTGCCAAGGCGGACGCGCGCCGGGAGCGTGRGGAGGGAGCCGAGCCCAGCGGGGAGCCGGGACCTCCCTTGCTGCTTGGGGCCGGGGGCASAGCGGGTACCCCGGGCTGGCCTCGCAGCTACCGAGAGCCCCGGCTGGGCGAAGCCGTGAGGCCAGTGAGGGGGCGAGCACGGGTCCCCACCGGGCTGTCACCCTCCGCTCCCCTCCCCAGAAGTTGGGGTGTAAGAGCGGGAGGAGACTGGTGCATCGCCGGCGCGTCTCGCCTGGCGCCCGAGGGACACGATTTGCCTCGGAAGCTGCAACTCCGTTACCAATTYTTATATATCTTAGCATTGCTGTTCGGGAGTCACCTTAAAGCGGGATAATAGAAGGTTTTTTGTATCTGCGAACAAGACCCAGRCATTATTTTGTTGCGGCAGAGTAGCGAGTTAAAGGCAGGATTACSGAGAGCTACAGTCACTTTTACCTATTTTATGCATGGATATGTTTACTCTTATGTGTCTTTTTATACATAACATTGGTGAAAGCTTGAAGTTCTCCATGCTGCAAAGAATGAAGGAAATCAAAAGGAGCAAAGTGGTTTTATTTCTCCTCGCTCTGTGTGCAAGCAGTTTAAAACTACACACATACACAAGTTGAGCTTGTTGCTATCTGCAACAATTAGAAGTGMACTGTTTGCCTACTTCTGCAGCTTTTGCATGGTGTCGAGTACACCTTTTGGTTTGTCACATGCACACGTAGTAACAGTCCTGGCATCTGCTGTTTCATGTGTTTCTTTTTTATGTTTTCCAGCTAGCAGAACCTTCCCCAGTCTCTATTCTCTTGCCTGTGTAAAGATTCTGTTACTTAAAAAAGCCAAATTAAATATTCTTTGCATTTGAGCTACATCATAACTTTGTTTTAGGCATTATCTCCTAGTGCTTAATCAAATTCTTAGAATGTCTCTTTCTCTTAACAAAACAAAAAAAAAAAATCCATTTTCACCTGTTAGAGGTCAGTAGGACTTGATATTCAGTTCTACAATTTTACTTMTTCTGTGCAAGGTTGTTTTGATGTGTTGCAAGTAATTTATATAAAGAAAAATATTTTAACGTTGACATTAGCTACATCAAAAGGCAAATTTGCTGTAGTGACTCCATCAATTAAAAAGTACTTGCCTACAGTAACATGACCTTGCAAATGACATCGATATGATCATTAGTCATTAACAGTATTATTATATTCAAAAATGTAAATTTGTTGCCAGAATCCACATATTTACCGCTCTGCATGTTTTATTCTTCAGTGTTTTTGCATCTTGTATGAAGTGGTCAATTAATTTTCATGCTTTAATCTTTTACAGAGTTATTTTCAGCTTGCTAGCTTGGTCAAGTGGACCTAAGGAAAATATAAGGAGTTTTTTTTTGTCTTGTTTTGTGCTTGGGTTTTACTTTTTACWGCTTTTTGTTGTTTCTTTTTGTTTAGAAAATTTGTCTGTAATTTTAGAATACAGAATGGAAACTACGGAGGTCTGATGAAAGTAGTTTTTGGAGTGTACTCATTATTCGTATACACAGATAAAAAGAAAAAATCTTGTACTTATCCCACAAATTTAAATTGAAGGCTTCTTGTGCGATAAAAACTTGGTGAGGAGTAAATCTCGTTAATACATTTTTGTTTTCTTCTAGATTTGTCGGCATTAATGCATCTGATATAAACTACTCGGCTGGTCGATATGATGCCTCAGTTAAACCCCCCTTTGATATAGGCTTTGAAGGTGTCGGGGATGTGGTAGCGTTAGGACTCAGTGCTAGTGCACATTACACAGTGGGTCAAGCTGTGGCCTACGTGAAAGCAGGTGCCTTTGCTGAATACACAGTTGTGCCTGCCAAACAAGCAGTCCCTCTRCCCTCGGTGAAACCCGAGTTTCTCACTTTGATGGTAAGTGGTGCAACTGCATACCTCAGTTTGAAAGAGCTGGGAGACCTGTCTGAAGGCAAGAAGGTTCTGGTGACAGCAGCGGCTGGAGGAACGGGCCAGTTTGCTGTGCAGCTTGCAAAGAAGGCAAAATGCCATGTAATTGGAACCTGCTCCAGTGATRAAAAGGGTGGCTTTCTGAAATCCATTGGCTGTGACCGTACGATCAACTATAAAACTGAAAATGTCGAATCTGTGCTTAGGAAGRACTACCCAGAAGGTGTGGATGTGGTGTATGAATCTGTTGGGGGAAAGATGTTTGACTTGGCTCTTAATGCCTTGTCTATCAAAGGGTGCCTGATAATTATTGGGTTTATCGCTGGCTACCAAAACCCCACTGGCCTCCAGCCCATTAAAGCAGAGTTATTGCCAGCAAAACTATTGAAGAAATCTGCCAGCATCCGGGGTTTCTTCTTGAACCATTACCTTTCTGACTACAAAATGGCTCTGCAGCATTTGCTCAAGATGTATGAAAGAGGAGACCTGGTTTGTGAGGTGGACTTYGGAGACATGTCTCCAGAGGGCAAGTTCATTGGCTTGGAATCTGTATTCCGTGCTGTAGATTACATGTACATGGGAAAAAACATTGGAAAAATTGTAGTTGAATTACCTCACTCTGTCAACAGTAAGCTGTAAAAACAGAACAATGATATAAATCAAAAGAAAGAAAATGGGCACTTTATGCCTCAGATTTACTAGAAAAAAAATCTTTTTTTAAGCTTAATAATGGATATTATATTAAAAAATGTCACTGAAGTGTTAATAAAAAAGGATGGATTTGTTCGGGGGCTTTTTTGTTTGTTTGTTTGTTTTTATTTTCCTAAAAATGTTTAAATCAGTGGCTGTAGCAGGGACATAATGGGCCTGTGCTTGATTCTGTCACTTAGGTTAGCATGAGACAAGAACATTGATCTTGACAGMATAAGTCATGATGCAGAGGCAGATTTGGACTGTCAGCCTGATTTGATAAGACTTCATATATAGTTCAGCTCAGAAAAAAATTCTTTCAGCAATTTTGTTTCCCTGATTTAAAAATAAAATTGTTAGAACAAGTGTAAGTAAAGAGTTGTATCTTTGGGTTGCTCTATTAATCTTTTGAAGTTTCTGGCAAAAAAATGTTCTTGATTTTCTGTCACAAACATGATAATCATAATTCAGTTGCATCATGGATCATAGTAATATTCCTTGACTGGTTACACAGGGAAATTTATCCTCCAATTCTGACATGTCAGTAATATTAAGCAACTTCTTTTTTTTCTTTTTTTCTTTTTTTTTTTTTTTTTTTTTTTTTTTTTTTTTTAATCCTGTCTTTCGTAACTACAAACAACTGTGCAATTTTCTTTTAAATCTCTTAACTACAAGTTGCAATATAGTCTCATTTTGTTGCTTTTTCATTTTCCATTGTTACTGTTTCTTGTCCAGTCTCCCCTTTAGTCAGTATTTAAAGATTATTGAAGTGGGATTTTGAGCCATGTTCATTTGTGTTCAGGCCTTGTATATTTTTTGAAGATTAAATAAAGTTTTAAAAGCTATTTAAATATTCCTGCCATTTATTCATGCTCATATGTTTCTTGCTGTCTAGCTCTTTTGTAGATACTCTGTTTTTGCAGAGTTATTTGACTGCTCATTCTTGAAGGGACTTCCCATAAACAGGCCTCTACTTTTACCACATACTGCTTCTGCAGAAAACCTTTTACAAACAGCAGGACCATTTTAAATCTATAGCCACAATACCTGGTACATATACTGATGCTCAACCATAGATTCTCTGGTGGGTGCAGTTAAAGGATTTTGTAAAGTTTCAAAAATTCTTCCTCACCTAGTGGATATTAATAACGCTACATACAGTGGGAATTCCAGCTTGAAGCGTAATATTTTCCAGAACAATAAAATACTTGAAACTGCTTGCTCTACMTGTTTTTTCCATAGCAAACTTTAGATCTTAAAGGCCAATTTTACCACATCTTTTGAAATTACATTCAGTTGCATGCATTCATTTGAAGAGATGAAAATTTCCTAAGGTCATACACCTTATAATAAACATAACGATAGACTGATAATGTTTAGGACTTGAAGGAAAAAGTCCAGGATAAACTTAATTTTAGGACATTATTCAGAACTGACTGTACACAACATTTTTGGTTGTAACATATGAAAACTTATATTTTATTCAATAGTGCAGACAGAAAAATGTTTTTAGTTTTGTTTTATTGCATTCTTAGTGTAATTTTTTTTAGTACATGTTTTGTTAGCATCGTAAAGAATTGTTTACAATGGAGARCTGTCCATTTCTTGAGCCATGCCTGACTACTAGGTTTAGTCTCATATTGGTGGATTTTGGGGAAAGGCAGAATTGATTTGTTACCATTTTTCTCTTTTACTCAAAGTCAGCATCAAACCACCATGATTTTTGTTTTAAGTAAGATCTGTTAAAAACATAATTCTTCTTTCATCTCTGATAATACAAATATTGTGTTGTGTTTGTGTTTTGCATAATTAGAAAGGTATATTGGCCTTCTATCTGAATGCTAGAAAGATAAAAACACTCAAGTACCATACGAAGCATGCAGARTTCTCAGGATTCTGTTCCTAGGCATGTGATGTTATTCCTCGTTTAGGACAAGGTGAAGTCCTTGGTCAATAAGTACATCTTTTTTTAAAAAAGTGTTGTTTGGGATGTACTATGGCACATTTTTTTTGAAATACAGTTGGTTACATCTGTGATACTTAGAGAAGAGTCGTGTGAGTAACTTTAATTTCTCAAATTAAATCCCTGCAGTCAGATGCCAAAACTCATCCAAGCGGCCCAGTTTTCAGATGTGTCGATCACTGTCAGTTCAATAGATTTGGTGTTTCTGAGGAAGTGAATTCCATATGTTTTTGTCATAAAAATGCTTCTTGTAAGAGGATTCAGTTTGGATATACATTCTACTTTGTTTTTAATATGTTACTTCATATATAACATTGCTTAATACAACTGCCCAGGCTTCTTCACTGATCAAAATAGGGGAAGAGAAGAACCTTTGGAAGTTTCACACATTATATTCAGATATAACATGCTGTTCATTTAAATTTTGGCTCCAGATTGTTGTTTAGCACTTTCATACTGATCAAAGCATTAATAAAAGGTTTACATTTGTTATATGCAGAACTTAGATAGCCAGTGTACAAATTTTATAGCGATTTTGGTCTTTAGGTTAGGCTATGGTCATTGGGCTTGTTCTTTTCATCAAATGTCTGTGTTAAGCTGAAGAGGTAGCTCAGGATCAACATGATAACTCTTCCATGAATAAATAGGGAATTAAGAAGTAGTTTTTTTGCTTTGTCTTGAAACACAACTTTTATCCTTTAAATTGCTGAAAAGGGAGTATTATCAATAGAGGGTGAAAAGTATTTCTTAAACATGCAGATAAGGCCTTTTTGATGAATTTCATAATAAATTTTGGCTTGCAGCAAGGGCAAAAAAACCCCAACTTCTCTTTATTTAAAAGTRTATTCTGCAAACTTACAGTTCTGGGAGCAGGGCTGACTTTGAATAAGTAAGCTATGATGGATTTAAATAATGTTTAAATATTAGATGGCTAGGAAAATGTATATGGCATGCACACACTGAGAGGTTTAAATGATGATAGGACATTGAACATACAAGGAAAAGAAATACTGTAGAGTCACAGCAAGGGATTAATAACAATACACTTAATATGCTTGCAAAAAAGGTGTATTAAAAGCTGTGTGCACAGTGGGGACTTAAATGATTAAAAATAATAATACATTTGCCTTGGAAGTACTAAGTATACTATATGTAGAGAGCAGGGATTTAAATAATAATACTATTAATAATAGCAGCTCGTTGAGATGTGGTTGCTAGCACTACATCCTAATTTTACCTTTCTAAATGAATTTGCTGCAGAGGAATCTGGCATTGTTTGCTGAGGCTAATAACCGAATTTCCCTTCCCTACACACATATGCTTCCATGGAAAAACAACAAAGAACTAGATGAAGAGCTGGCTTTTTTCCTGAGTCTGTCACATGTGTGCATACGCACGCGCACATGGACACACACGTACTCACTCACTCTCTCCTGGCTTGCAACCCTCAGCACATTTTACAGATATGCTTCCTACTTAATTGCTATGCTGGATTCTACTAATACCTTTTCGAATTAAGTTGGGTTTCTACCAAGCAATAGTTTGCTATATGTTTGTACACGTGCAAATATGTGTAATGTATATACACATAACGTGTACATTTAATAAGCGGATATGAATAACTGCTGTGTCATGTAAATACAGATAATTAAAATCTCTCAAGGAAAAGTTTGCAGATATTATATATATTCCTACTTCTGTCTGAGGAGTAACGAAATTTCTCTGCTGAATAGCTGTTAGTATCTATTTTACAAGATTTACTCATTTTCAGGTACCTAATGTAGCTGCTAGCATGCATGCACGACAATACAATTTATATGGTAAATGGAACCAAATAATGGCTTCACTGAATGTTATGGCTGCACTGAAGGGAAATGTCACGGTAAATAGCTGCCAAATTATGGATCATGCCGAAGTGTCACAACTGCACTAAAGACAAATAGCACTAGAGGCTATTGCCACTGTGACGCTTTTGAGTTATGAAGAAGAGGAGCAGCCTGATGTGAGCCTCTTTGTGTCCTCATTATAGCAAAGGGTTACTGGTGCAGTGTACAAGGAAACCTAGTCCTACGTGGTGGCTAGTTATTAATCTGTTCTTTTCAAATCTAACAGCTGTAGCAAACCAGAAAATCTTTTCCTTGCTTTATGAATACATATAAACACATACAAACAAAGAAAAACCTGCAGCTTTTATAAATGTAAATGTGTACGGGAAATGACTGGTAATGGAAAAATGTTGTAATAAAATAATCTAATCAAAGAATATTATTAAATTTAATATCGTATGTGTCTGAAAGCTTTAGTTGCTTCTTATGCAGATAGATGTGTGAAATATAAGCAATAATGCACTTTCTCTCTTTGTAAAGACTTGAGTAGTAAGGACATTACCAACTAAATTGCTTCTTCTAAACTGAAGTGTGTCCCGGTTTCTTTCATTTTAATGGGAGGGTAATAAAGATGAAAGACTAACATTTTAACTGATGGATCCCTTAAGCTACAGAATAGAAATTTATTATGTTTTGAGGGAATATGCTAAATCCTGAAATGTGRAAAGAAGCAGGGAAATCCCAGGTAAAATAAAAGCAATGTAACCTTTTTTTCATTGTTATTATTATGACATACTTTTATGAATGGAAATCTACATACTGCTCTTACTTAAGCTGAGAAAACAACACTTACATTTCTTAAAAAAAAAAAAAATTGGGGGACTTACTTGGAGGGAAAAAAAAAGATTTGGAAATGGAGGGACATCGCTCASCAAGTGGTCGCTTCTTTCTACAATCACTTTTCAAATCCTGCCGGCAGTGTTCAGGGAAGTGAGTTTGATGCTCTGCACACTATTATACACACCACAAACGTACCATCCATAACACAGCACAATTGTCAGTTGCTGTTTTACAGAGGGGCCAGGGCTGAACAATCATGGTGGATAAATTACTTTTCTATTCTACAGCAAGTGGCTTTCCTACCATGTGAAGCTTAAGGTCATTGGCAGGGCAGTGAGGGGGAAGCTTATATATTAGTTAAAACTAATGCACTAATAGTGTTCAGATAGAGGAACTAAACTGATCAATTAAAGCTCRGTATGTTCTTCTTTGGGGAGGGGGGGATGACTTGGAGGGTTAGTGTGCCAAGAGACACACATGTATATTTATGTGTATGTGTTTTGCTTTCTTACTCCTCCACTCCTTGCTGCAATAATCCTGTAGATAACTTGAGGGGTTTTTTTTTTTCCTTTTTTTTTGTCTTTGATATCTGCATTAAAACCTTCATAATTCACAATTGAAGAAATTCAGTTTTCAGGAATAAGAAAATATTCTCCAAAGATTTTAAAACTTTAGTAATACATTCTGGTTACAATCTCTACAGTGTAATCTAAGGGGGGAGGGGAAGAAAAACCTGTCAAAAATTAGGTAAAACGTCCTTGAATGGCAATTAGCGTGCCCAGAATTTATTTTATGTGCAACACAGTTGCAAGTAGCTGCTTCTTATTAAATGAAAATCCTGTATTATGTACTTCAGGAACATTCCAGCTAATGAGTATGTAATGTCCTTAGTGTAACACAGAACTTCTTTTTGTGTTCACAACCACAAAATGCTGGAAACTTGACAAATGATATCATTTAAGACAGATGCCTGCCTTAGGGACCTGTTTTTTGGCTTCCTGTTTCTGGTTTTTATTTCAATAACATTTGTAATTGCCACAGGATCTGTACCTGCATAGTGTTTTAACTCCTTCACATATGCCCCAATGCATTAACTCYTTGGGTAGGTACCCGGCAATATTTYCTTTTTTCTTTTTCCTTTTTCCTCCCCAGCTGGTGTGTTCTTCCTGCCTCTCACAGGCGCAGATACACACATAAATAAAAGCTGGATCTTATTAGGCCA